ATGGACTGAACGCCAAACAGCCATACCAAAGCGTATTTATTGAAAGTTATACAAAGTATTTCCTCATACCGAGGTCTCTAATCTTAATTCACATGTCTTACTGAAGAAGAGCATCACATGCCTCCATGGCTCTAGTCCTTTATTATGTATCGTATTATTTTCTCTTCTCCATCCTCTTCCCTGGAAGTCCCGGTATATAAAGGGAGGGTCCGAGCTAAATTGTGTAAAGCTATTACTTAATGTCCACCTCCCCTAGGCGGTGTCCCCTTGTGGAATATAAGTCAGGAGACTTGCAGGTAGGCTGTTATAATTGTTAGTCCTCGGAAGTTGGGCGCCCACCTGGGCGGTGTTTCCTGTAGTCCTTGAAAGTAGCTAAGGGAGATATCTGATTCCAGAGAAAGCCTTTCCCGAGGCTGTTCTCCAAATACCTGGAATGTGTATGTCCAGAGAGTGATCAGTCCACACTGTTAGCCCTTCTTAGGGAAAAGTCAGTTGGGAAAACTATGAAGGCACACATGATTTTCATAACAGAATACAGCTGATATATAATAAGCCAACACCAAAAACTCCTTGGGATTTGGCTTCCTCTGGAGGAATTCCCTGATTCCTCCAGGTAGTGACTTTGCCATAACCAGCTGAGTTCTTATGATATATTCCTGCAGCCTACAGCACCCCTTCAGCAAAACAATTCTACAGATCACAGGAAACAATCACTGTTTTCCACAAGGATTCTTCAAGGTCAAAGTACTTCTAAAAAAACAGTTGTTTGTTCTAATGTCTACTCCATACTGTGATTTTGCCAAATTCTTACAATAGCAGTCTCGCTCCATCCACAATGGAGGCAGCGGTATCTTTTCCCAACCTCCATTAAAACATAGAATGGGGCTGGGGAGATGGCTCATCAGTAAGAGCACCAACTGCTCCTCCAGGGGACCTGGGCGTGATTCCTAGTGCCCAACACCTGGCTTACAATGGTCTGTAACTTTAGTTCCAAAGGACTAGACGCCCTCTTCTGGCTTCCTTGGACACTGTATCCAAGAGTCCATACATATAAACATCCATACATATAAAATCATACAATAAAAATTTAACTAAATGAATCATCAAACAACGCAAATCAACTAGAACCCACTAAATTGTGGAATCCTCCAAAGAACCAGCCACATTTCGCCTTGGGGGAAGAGTACCTGGATAGAATGGGGAATGTGGTTAGTGTAGGGAAGGGATTTATGTGTTAAAGATGTGTGTAAGCAATAATAGAGAACGAAGTCTGGCGGGAGAGAAGTACAGGGGGCAGGGCTTAGAGAGAGATTTCTCTCTCCCTGATTGCTGGGTAAGAGGAAGCAGGAAAGTATCTTGGTCTGAAAAAGAATACGGGGCCCAGCCTTCTGCTGAGAAGTCAGGTGGAGCTCCATGTCCCTTGCCCTCAAGGGACTTTGTGAGCATGAAATGATAGGCAGAAGCCAGGGCCTCACTTTAAGGAAAAGCAGAGACAAAATGAATGAAAGCCTAACTGTAGAGAAAGCAGATCGCCCCTGGGAAGACTTGCTTTTAGTTTTTCTAACACAGCTGGGCCTCGGCTGCGTCGAGCATCACGCTCTCCAGCTGCAGATATTTGAAGGAATAATTTACGTACTCAGAGAAGGGCAGGCATGAGTTCTTGAATGCTGACACTGAATTTTCATCTGAAGCACTGTCTCAGCTCGGGAAAGAAGATGGAGATGGTCAGGAAATAAGGATTTGATCATCTTCCTCAGAATCCTTGTGTACCAGATGCTCCCAATGCCAAAGTCATCCATGCCACCCAGACATTTCCAGAAGTCATCCAGTCCCCAGCTCCAGTTCCAGCAATGTGAGGAGAGAGACAGCCCTCCACATTTTATACCCTGTTCTGGGTCATAGCAGAGGCTCATGGCTTGGCAACATATGGTTACTCTAGCCTAGATGTAAATCCTGCATGAGTCATTCTGAAGCTTGGGTGTCCTAGACTTCATCATGTGAGGAGAATGTTTTCCTTTTCCTTATCAGTGACACACACACTCTAGCTGTTTTCCCCAGCAGGATGTACTTTATCTTACCACTAGACGATGAAAGTGACAGTTCATGACAGTTTGTCAGGCAAAGGACCACGGAGTCCCAGGGCTTGGGAGGGGACAGGATGGACAGGTGGCGTTCAGCAGATTTTTTAGGGCAATAGAGCTATTATTCTGAGTGCTGCCATATTGTGTGGCAAATGTCATTATCTGCTTGTCGATCCCTCCAGGAGGACCAACACCTAGAGTGAGTCTAGTGTTGACGGTGAGCCTTCACTAATGATGGTGTTAACGTTAGTCCATCAAGGCGCCTGGATAGAATGGGGACCCAGCTTCTGAAGGGACCCAGTTTGTATAGGATAAGGACTGACGTATTAAAGATGTGTCTAAGCAATCATTGAGAACAAGGTCTGGCTGGAGAGACGTGGGAGTTAGCAGAGAGGCAGCACACCATATCGCTCTTTCCTTTTGGAGAAACCCTTGCCCTCTCCACACCAGTGCTTTAGTTCAGGGGGGAAATTGAGCATGCAGGGGTTCTCTTTACTTATTTTGGGTTTGTTTGTGTTCCTTGCTGCTCAGTTTTAGATAGATGTGTGCGAGCCAACAAACTCATTGGTAGAGTGCGTTAGCACCCAGCCCGGGCTCCTGAGCTCAGGGGTGAAGGGATGAGGGACACAGGTTCCTTTTCAGTGGAGTAGCAAGTGGCTGACTGCTTAGGAACCACAATACATTTTTCGGGTTCTGAAAACACACAGTGCAGAAAATATCGCTACTGTATGAGCTGTGATGAGCAGTTGTCAAAGGGAAGTCCACACCTACAGACTGAGAAATCAGTCAGACACAAAATGTGTCCTCACGGCTTCATTCCGCAGCATGTAAGGTTCAGTGTCCTTTGTGAGTTAAAAGAAAAAGTGTCCTAAAATTGCTGTACATTTAGTCTGCCTTTAATCCCTACCAACACTCAGTGAGAGGCCAAAACACAGCGAACTGATAGACTGTCAGAGGGAAACGCACATGTTCTCATCACGTCAGTGGGAGACGTAAAATCATGAGCAAAATTCAAGTTTCCTGCCCAGGACACAGAAAAACACCCAATACATGAATACTAAATAAATGAAGTTTTTTTTTTCCCCAAAGAACATACATGCCGGGGTTGAAGGTAGAGCTCAGTGATTGATAGGACAAAACTTAGTGGGTCTGAGGCACTGGGTTCGATTCCCAGAGGGAGAAAAAGGGGAAAGAAGTGAGACAAGGTGGGGGAGGGGAGGAACAGGATGAGAAGAGAGGGGGAAGAGGGAAAACCTCACATGCCTGCGTATCTTAGATGCTAACAGAAAACGGACAAGATCTTTAGGCCCACAATCTGATTCTCTGAAGCATTTCCTTAGATCTGTCTCCGCAGAGAATTCTGATGAGGATATGCTAGTGTGTGTGTGTGTGTGTGTGTGTGTGTGTGACATGTAGAATATGTGCACATGTTATATTCGAGTGGAGGACATTGGGTGTTGTCTTCTCTTATTACTCCCCTACTTTCTGTCTTTCCTTTTTTTTTTTTTTTTTTTTTTTTTAACTTTTGGACACAGGGTCTATCATTGAACCAGAAGCTCACCAGCTCACCATTTGGGCCAGTCTGTCTGGCCAGAGAGTTCCCAGCATCTGCCTTCCTCTCTCTGCCCCCCACCCCCTCCCCAACACTGGAGTTACAGGCATGCAAAGCCACGCTATTGTTACATGAACTCTGGGGCTTTGAATTCAGGCCATCTTGCTAACACAGTAGGCATGTACGGAGCCATCACCCAGCTGGTGGTGGTACCATATTAGCTTACCGTGGACCACCTTGCTCATTCCTAATGCTGGACACTACTAATCTGAAAGCCAGGTGCCTGTAGGTTTCAGATTGTAAAGCACTTTGGACTTCAGACTTCTGGATAAAAAAGTATTCAACTAGGAATGTCTACACACATATTCCAGACTCTAACCTGAAACAATTAAGGTCCCAAACATTCCAGATTAGGGATGCTCAAGATGTATTTGTTTTCTTCCTGCTATCAAAAACATTAGGGATGAAAGTCTGGCAGTTCACCTTCTTGGTACCTCAAAGAGGAGGACATGCCTCCATTATCCCTGAAAATTCAATTGACTTTGTTTAAAAATCAAGCACATTATACTGACCTGGCAGCAAATACCTATAATCCCAGTTCTCAAGATGCTGAGACAGGAGAATTACAATTTCAGTGTTAACTGGTTTCCATAAGGTCTCTGATCTCAACATATATTTCATGGTAAGCCTGCCCACCTTAACACACATGAACATACACAGCAGATGAATAAATGAAAAATAAATGAGTATAAAAAGTAAAATCTAGACTATTTATTTAGATAACTAATAAGAAGAAATTGGAAATAAAGGTAAGTCTAAAGAAAGACATTGTCATATCATTGTATTTCATTCTGGAACAAAATTTGAATTTCCTTCTAAATACAGGTATCACTGAAACTATGGACACTTAATAGAACAAAATAACAAGTCACTTTTGTAGAGATGAGACCTTGCTAGATCACACAGTCCCACTCCCTGGGGCCTTTGCCCAGGATAAAGAAGGTGGCCCCAGCTGGCCAGAGGTGAGCCGGCTTCTCTATCCTGAGAGGATTTATATAGAGTGGTGTTGACTTTTACTTAGTAGAACCTTCCTTCCAACACCCAATGGGCCAAGACAGACCTTTTTAATTCCATTCCGGAGTAAGAGTCAGTAGAACAGTGAGAAAGTCCACAGGAGACCGGACACACTACCCACAGCTGGCTTCTCTGCCTCCACATTTGCTAACAAGCATCTAATTATCTGCTCCGCTGACACACTGCACAATCTCCTTAAAGACATTGGAAATGGCTGCGTGGGACGCGCGGGTCTAACGCTGGACTGTCGCGTGTCGTTTTCTGAACCTTGCCCACGTTTCTTTCTCTTGCAGAGCCACGGGCTTCGGCTTCTTGAATGCGCTCTGTAAAGCTGCGGCGGTCCTGGGAAACCTGATATTTGGCTCCCTGGTCAGCATTACCAAAGCAATCCCCATCCTGCTGGCTTCCACCGTGCTCGTGTGTGGAGGACTCGTGGGGCTGCGCCTGCCCGACACACGAACCCAGGTTCTGATGTGACGGAACAAAAGCCGCCATCTCTTCCCACCGTGGGTCGGTCCGGCTGCCTGACTCGAGGCTGCAGAGATTTTGTGTATAGAAAGGCGGCCGGGTATCAGAACAAACTTTTGCTGTGACATAAAGTGTAGCTGCGTATCGTCTTGCCCCTCCAATGTGACTTTGCACTGTTTTGTTTTGGTTTTTTTTCCCCCAGGCGTTGTTATCTCTATCTATCCGTGATCCTCCTGCCTCTCCGTGCCCCGTGGAAGTGTTCCTAAAATGTCCCAGTCAGCCAGGCTTTCCTGGCGATTCTGTTCGCTAAAAAGTCTGTGCTGGTGTAAGAAATAGACCCTGCCCCGAGGCATCATTAACAGGAAGTTTAAGTTGGCATAATTAAGTTGGTGCTGAGGAAAGGGATTTCTTTCTTTCTTTCTTTCTTTTTTTTTTTTTTTCATACAGAGTGAGATTTCCTGTTTACTTAGAACACCCAGCCACTCTATTACAACAGGGTGTTTCCAGAGAATTGTGTGATACCAAGCATGCCTGGGGCGGGGCATTTTCAGGCAGGACGGGTTAAGGTGATTCTGCTAGCAAGAAAAATTTAAAGTCTGCCCCCAGTCGTCAGCAAAAACCTGCCTGAGCTGCAGAAGCCAGATTTTAGAGCCTGATCCATGTGAGGGCTGCAGCCATCACAGTGTCTGTCTGGGACTGTGGCGGGGGACAGAGTTTGAAGACCAGACAGAGATCCTCTGCCTCTCTTTGCATTCCCTAAGCAAGCTGTCCCGGAATTGGCCAGATAGCAGATTCAGGGAAAGAAAGCCACTTCTTAAAAAGTTCGAATCTGCCTCTTCAATTCTGCTACTCCTTTCCAATGTCTCTGGTCCAGCGATTGGCCGTGGAAATTAGAAATGGGTAAGGCATTCACAACCAAAGCCATTTGGAAATGCAAAAGGGCACCTCTCTCAATACTGTTTCTTGAGGGTCAAAGCCATTCACCCTCCTTTGTTCCTCTGTCCACTGTCACTTTTTAACCCCCATCTCCACAGCAGGTCCTGTCCCTCCAGCTTCCCGGGGCTATGGGCACCCAGCCTTGTCTCTGAGTTGCCTCTGAGCCCGCCTCCTCTCCCAAGCAACCCTCTGGCAGGCTGGGCAGCATCTCCTGGTGGATGTCTGTCTGTTTTACCTCTGGAATCTTCATGAGCGTAGAAGGAGAGGTCAGCAGGACATTCCCACGGGCCAGCTGTCAGCTAAATGACCTTCTGGTCTCTCGCTGACTGCCCCTCCCCCAAGCCCATCCTTTTACACGTCTTTGAAATCTGAAGCCACCTTGTAGATTTGCAGCCCGCGATAAAAGCCAGCATAAGCTCCATATTTGAACAACATTCTCTTTTTTAACTCCCTCTCTCTGGGTGGAGGGTGATCCTTGTTGCTTATTTTCTGCTATTCCTGCATGACCACAGCCCTGGGGCTTCCACGAAAAGGAAACTTTTGTTTCCACTAATCAGTGTGTTCAGAGATGGCCCTGCTCCCTGGAACCACCCCCCCCCCCACCTCCCCTCCCCTACCACATTCCCTGATCCCTCCTGGAGCACAAATTCTGTGAAAAGCTCTTTGATTAACATAAGCCATTAATCCACTGTCCCCAACAAGTAATTCAGGCTTGGTGGTGGGGACAGCCTCGCGTTAAGATGGGAAGCCTCAGAGAGTAGTAGTTCCCTGGAGATAAGATAGATACTCAGAGCCAGAACATCAAGGCTATCAGGGCAAAATCTGTAGAGGTGGCCAGAAAAAGGAAAATCTTCAAGACCGGGCATGATTGATTTGAAAGACACCAACAAAGCAGGGACCAGAACAGAACTCAGTTCTGCTTCCTTTTGCATCCCTGGGAAACAAACCCATAGTTTAAAAACATAAGAAAGTATCTTTTGCATTATTCATTTTTCCACGTGGGTTCGTTTCCCCCTCCTATTTACCCGTGATTTGTCTTTTTTTTTTTTTTAAAGGCATGTTTGGGGCCCAGAGCAGATCTTTTGGTTGAAGGTGGCATGTAAAGAAAATGCTGCAAAAGTAAGATATGACTCTTATCTTGGCACAGGAAGGAAAAGCGGACATATGCAAGGGCATTGCTTTCTCTACTCTTGCGTGGTAGTGAACTCACGGGATACTATTTAGTCTCAAATTGCCTGTGTTCTCTGTCTTACAGTCTAACTCCATCAAGTCCATTCCAAACTGCAAGACATAGTTTTTATCTGGATGCTGGGTTGGGTCAGCAGCATGGGATAGATAACCCAGCAGAGCCCTGTTTTGTAAGACCGTCTGCCGTCTGTCCTCTTCAGAACTATTCTGATCATCTACCCCAAGCTTCCCAGGTGGCCCAAGAGGGATCTCTTCTAATCTTCTGGACAGTCAGTGGTCACAAACCTTCTTGGTCACCACCTTTCCCACCTCCCATGGTTTTTCCTCGGCCTCTTCAATTATGCATCACATTCGTTGTCCATGATAGTGTCTTCACTGCTTCCCAAGTATGTGGTGTGGCTTGTTTGGGTTTAATTAGAGATGAAGAGTTAACCGTAAGATTCACCAGAAGTTTTATGAGTGTTATAGGCCTTGGCACCAGGGCAGACATCTGCTGTCCCATTTCATACCCAGCAAAAGGAAATTGAAAGCTGATTGAAAAAGGAAAGGAAACTGCCCCGTTTGTACCTGAATTTGGAACTCCGTTTCTGACTAAGATTTCCCCCATTGCTCTTCGGAATCAGTCCAGGACACTCCCAAGTTTTACTATCACTGAACCCTCTCAATAGGAAAGAAAACAAAACAAACTATAGCAAAACAAACTATAGCTGCTCTGCACTGTGACTTCTGTCAGATGCCCCGTTCTGCCTGTTGGGTCTTAAGGCTCCATTCATTCCTGTTTCCTGATCTGTCTCACACCTGAGTACTGACCCAAGACACAATATCCGTGGGGTCTCAGAGGCACAGGCTCCACAACCAGGCTGAAATCTTTCTGGGGTGAATGCATTTGATCTTAGCCAAAAGGCCGAGAATTAAGTCACTGGACATATTGGTCCTCAGTTTCCCCGTCTGTAGAGAAAAAGGACGACACTATTTTATTCTCTAAGATACTATGGGACTAAAATGAGAGTAACCTCATCTTATCTGACTTCTGCTGATGGGAAGCCCACCTTCATATCATACTGAAAATTAGACAGTACCCAACCAACTATAAGGAGGTGGCTTGGGAAGACCTCATACCATAGGCTAGAACAGCTTCCATGTTGTCTATGCTGCCCATGCCTAGGGATTAAGTGTATCTCGTGTCAGTGCCACTGGAACGGCCATTGTTATCCACCCAGGGAATGGACAACCCTGAAAGACACAATGCAGTTAGAAGCCAGTCTGATGGAGGTAGACCCACAAAGGCTGGATCCTGTAGCCCTCTCTCCATCTACTTCACTGTTTTTTTGAAATTATCTTAAATGGATCTAGGCCATGAGGAACAATGTTTCTTGATGACTTGACATAAGCTGGTAGATGGATCCTCATTTACAGATTCCACCCATCAGAGCTCAAGTTTGCACCAAAAACTTATTTGCTTTCAGAGTATCTCTGGACATCAAGGGAGAGCCAGCAAAAGAGATGTGGTCCTGGAGGGTGAGTCCAGTGTTCTGTTGATAACGTTCCAGCGATGAGATTACTGCACCTGGGAGACATTCTAAACTCTAGGATCGATTCCAGAGCATTCCGTGGGAATACTTTCTGATGTCTTCTGCCAACCAAAATAGAATATTATATTCTCCAGTTTGTTTCTACCTTATATCAAAAAGGCTTTTTACCTATTTCTTCATCAAGAGGCCTTATTTGTTCATATACAAAAGGCTCCGAAGCCAGGAATGCCTGGATTTGACCTCCACCTGGAATTGTAGACAACCAACGTATTGTTTGGGACCTAGTGGCTGTGTATCAGGTTTCTTTTAAATGCCATACTGTGCCAAACTTAGACTAGTTACCAACCACCCTCACCGCCCCCCCAAAAAAAGTCATGCTGAGACAACAAAAACACATCTGCACAGTAGAGTGCTCAGAAGTGACCTATGTGTTTCTTCAAGTTTTTCTTCTGCTGAGCAAAGTGTCTATTTTCGGTAACACGTCCCTTGAATCTGACAAAAGGAACTTGTCAGGCGCTTAGATGCATTGCGTGTCCTTTCCCTGTTTCAGGAAACTGGCAATTCTCCATGTACTGTTCTGTCGCTTTCACTATTGACGGTTCCCCTGTCAACAATCTCTCAGCAGCCACATGCAAGCCATCAGGGCTTCCTTCCACCTTTCTCAGCTCCCAAATGCAGCTGAGTCATCCCAGCATTCTGAGCCCCAGGGTACACAGTCTTCTGGTCTGTTTAGGTCATTGATGAAAGCCGGTGGAGCTGGGTCAAGGAGAGAGTCGGGTAGAGTAGGTATATCTCCTTTCATGAGTTTGTTGGGTAAGTATTGGCTGACCATCATGCTAGGTGTTCAGGCACTAGGCTGTGTGTGGATATGTGTGGCATCTCTTTGAGAACAGGGAGAGCCAGGGGAATGAACAAGACACTCTCGTCTCATCTCATCTCACGGTGTGTGTAAGGCCTCTCTGTCAATGTCACATGTCTCCAAGTTCTAAACAAGTTATAACCTACAACAGGTAGTACCAGAACTATGCAGTGACCAGGGCGACCTGTGACAGAAGAAAGAGCTTCTTAGTTGGACGGTCTTTGTGGGAGGGAGTCCTAAACAGTCCTTGAAAAGTAAGACACATTCAATCACATGTTTTTTCATATGGTCTCAACAGGAAATTGCACCAAGATATTGTACAAAGAGGAGTCAGCAGCAAAGATAGCCCTTGCCTTTCTAGAGATGTCCATTCTCCAGAGCTGTTCTTTACAGGGAGCTAGGAAGTAAATGTGTTCCGCTCTGGACAAGCTAGAGCTCTTTCTCCAGGGCCTCAGCGAGCCCTGGCAACTGACTGCTGATCTCTGGCCTCTCCTCCACCCCTCCCAGGAGGTGTTTCCTTTCTGATGTTAGAGATTTGTGACTCAGTCATGCTGTCTTGCAGACATCCAAAAGCGACTTTCCCCTTCTGTAGCCTCAGCAGACAAGTCACCCAGAAAACGGGTTCTGACAACAGGAGGCTTACAATGGAGATTACAGGTGACAGTTTGAAATGGGGTGTGGGGTTGTTGCCAAGTGTTCTGAAGCTGCAGAGGAACTTTGGGGCTCTAGAGCCTCCAATGAGGCAGGGCAAAGAGAGCGTGGAGTCACTGGCCCTCTGAGAGCCCTGGGTGCCTTTTCTTCTCCCCAACTCTGTCCCTGTCCTCTGGTGGCTCATATTCACTCTCTTCCTTTCATGAATCGCCCTCCTTCCTTCTTGTCACCTCTTGACTCCAGCAGGGTCCAAAGGTGAGGGTAAGCACTAGGACTCAGGAGTGTATGTGTTCTTGACCAAGGAATGTACATGTCCTTACCTGTATGGAACACAGAGGATGGAGACCCTGGGGGAATAGGAGTGAAGTGATATGGTGTTCCATGGGTCCCTGTAAAGGTTTGCATGTCTGATGTCCTCCTCCTAGCCCTGCACCCTGATAAGACTAGCATAGAACCAGAGGGGCCCATCTCTGAGCAGAAGACATCCTTTGGCTTCCCAAAGGAGCATTCCTCTCCAAGAGCATGGCATTCTGTGAGAAACAGATGGATGGCACATAGCTTTTTCTTGTCTGCATAAATCCCTACTCAGTACTGAAGGTCAGATGCTTAAACTGCAAAGGTTGGCCATCCTCTGCCTGCCCTACCATATTTGTGTGGCCCCTAGAGCCAAGAGCATCGAGAACCAAAAAGAGGCAACAGCTTTCAGCCTTTGGTTCAAACTCAGATAAGTTTTAATGTCAAGCTAAAAACCTTCCATGTCAGCAAGGATAGGGGGCCCTAAGCAGCTTCCAGGTGCTGTGAGAAGGACTGGCCAACCAGAACATAAGGGGTGGTGTCGTCTAAGTCCCACCATGGCTGGGAACAGGCTCAACCCATTTCTTCAGACCCAGTTGTTAAAGCTTCAGGAATTTTAAGAAAGCCAGTCAAGAAATATAGCCATCATTAAAAGTTAAATACAATTGAATCAGTTATATTTTAAAGCAATATCTATTCAAAACTCATCACTTTCTACTTATTTTGCTACGTTTTTCTATTAGCCATGCCCTTGAGGAAATAGATGCCTAGTATATCTCTATTATGGAAGTACTATGTAATGGTGTCCTATTGGACGTATATTCTCAATGACAGGGTCAATGACATTATACTGAGCTCACCCACAGTGATAATATTTATAGCAAGAAAAGCAACCCATGCTATAGGTCAGACTCCTCCTGCCCCTATATAACCCCAGGCACTGGTAAACATTTACCAACATCTCACTATCTGAAGCCCTGAAGAATATTTAGCTTCCTATAACTCAGCAGTCACATGCTTTGCTAGCAGGCCAAGGGCCCTGGGTTCACAGGGAAAGAGGTTGGGCCTCCCCACATACAGACCCCAGCCCGGTGGAATTGAATGTCCCCTCGGGCTTGTGAGTCAGCATTCCATTACCCAAAAGTACAGGGGAAGGAAAGATTTAGCAAGAACTCATGTCTGTACCCCAAGGCTTCCTTCCACACTCACATTGGCTCAGAATAGGGCCAGCCATGCAGAGAAACCACCGGCCTCTGGGTGTTGTACCTTCAGGGAAAATTGCAGAAAGTTAGGTTGTATATCCTCTGCCTGACCCAGGCAAACACCGGACAGACCATGAGCTCTTTATCAGTGTCTGAAAAGGAAAGCCCGAGAAGAGGTTCTTCACGGTGTACTTCCGCCTTGGTTGCCTGCTCAGCCTACAGCTCCGCCCTGCTTTTGGCCATGGGATCCCGGCAGGGGTCCTGTCCTTGCTTTGGGTGTATGGGTGTTTTGGCTTTGTATTCTTTCTCGTCTCTATTTTCAGTGCTGTGTCTGCTGCCCCACTGTTTGGTCCAGCCCCTCGCCTGCACTGTACTGTATATATGTGCTGCATGTGTGAGACCTCAATAACTCCCATTTCAGGTTTCTGGAGTTCCCTTCTGGAGTTCCCTTCTCGAGTTCAGCTGATCCTGCTGTGAACTCATCTTTCCGGTATGGCTCCTCTGTGTCTCATTTCCGATTGCCAAAATGTTGGGCCAAGTGTGTTTTCACAAATGTCCCAAGACAGCCATGTGTGTGTATCCTTGTGAAAGGGCATGCTCTGTGTGGGATGGCTCGTGTACAGCGTAAATCTATCACATGTGGAAGTGTGTATACATTTATATGCCAGATAGCTACCATTCATGTAACAGCTACAAAGATATTTAATGTACATCAGATTAATAAAAGAGCATTTTTTGCTCCATTATATTCAAATAAAGATTACTGTGTGACTGCCCTTCCCTTCCAAACAAATGGCCCTCGAGTTTGCTGGGTGTGCTGGGGCAAGCTTGTAATCCCAGTGTTCAAGAGGCTGAAGGAAGAGGGTTGGAAGTTTGAGGTCAGCCTGGGCCACATAGGGAGACCTTGTCCTGTGGAGGGGGACGGAGCAAAACAAATGAACAAACATGAAGCCCATGTTTACGTTCTTGGTTCTAGAGAAAGCCAGTTCCTGGGGTGCGGGCCAGTTTTAGTTGCTTTTGTAGGCTGGTTCCATGGGTACTGGTGTGTTGTTGATTTTACAGGGATCCTTCCCAACGGTTACCTAGGGCCACTGGGGAGAAAACGCTGGGGGAGTGGGTGAAGCAGATGCTTGTGTTATTTGGTCCTAAAGCAAGAATAGTTAACAGATTTCTGTCCACACATCGCCGCTAATTAATTGATATTGACTGTTTAGAACATTCATTTGAGAACAATGAGGGGGGAGAGATGCTATATTTGATGATGTTCAAGTTATAAGTGGAAACAGAGGCTACAAAGCCTCATATTTGCTGTTCCCCAAAGAAGACTTTTGACTGGTTTTAACAGAAGACCTAAGTATCCCTTTGTTCTTCTTTAATATAGGGTCTTGCTGAGTTTGACAGGCTACACTCCAGGGACCCTCCTACCTCTGTTTCCAGGGTAGCCACGACTACCAGCTCATATCATGGCATCCTACCAAGAATTTGGGTTTCTAACTGTGTATGTGTCTGTGTGAATATACACCATTTGTGTGCAAGTACCTGAAAAGAACTACAGAAAGCATTGGATTCCCTGCAACTGGAATTGCAGGCCAGCATAAGCTGCCTGTGTGGGTGCTGGGAACAGAACTTGGGTCCTCAGGAAGAGCACAGCACTCTTAACCATCTTCCAAGCACCAAGAACTTTTACAAACAGCGAAGTTATCACAATGTGAGTTGACAATATGAATGATGACCCAGGTTCTTTCTCTCTTTCAGATCAGCTCTCCTTAGTGTACTGGTTTTCACCCCATAGGAGTTCAAACTAGTGGCAGGAACTCTAAATAGCACATCTTGACATAATAATCTAAGGTCCAGAAGTAACTGTTCCCTCTTCCTGAACCTTTTTTACATAGAGGAGAAAATTCTGAGTCCTTCAGTAGACTTCCCTGTCTCATTGGCTGGATTTGTATCATCTACACACTCCTAAACCAATCACAGGAAATGGGATCCTGAGTACCATAATGCTTAGAGCAGACAAGATTCATGTCTCCACAGGGCCAGAGAGGAGCTGGCCTCCCTTGAATCTAGTGGCTTCTGACTATCTGAACATGTGGGAGTCTGTTGGAGTCCAGGTTCTTGTGGGGAGGAGAGAGGAATAAGGAAGTATTAGATAGAAAGATAGAAGGAGACGATAAGAAAGACAGAGACACAGGATAACTTCGGGAGGGTCCTGGGTCAAAACCCAGTCATCTCGAGATTTATTCCAGAGGGCTTTTTATACAATGCCAAGGGGAGAGGCAAAAGACCTCCCCCTTTCAAGATCAAAGCACAGCGTACAGCCAAGTGTAGACCCTTCAAAATACCTGGTAACCATGCCCGTGGCCAAATCATCCTATTATGCAGCCCTACTGGGTAAAGCAAGCTCAGATTCTCTGACCTTGAGTAAGGCCTTACTAGGGAGCCTCTGTGGGCCTCCGCATGAACACCTTTGGGATTTCATGAGCAAGGAGTGAGGAAAGTAGAGAGGGGACTGTGAGTGCTGGAGCAGGCTGTCTAATAATAGTAGCCACATGCACCATTTATATTTAAATTTAACTAGAGTCTAGAATTCAGTTGTTCAGGTACCCTTAACTGTATTTGGGACACTCAACTGTCACCTGTGACTGGTGATTGTCATTTTCTACAGTACAAATATAGAGCATCCCACCATCATGAAGATTCTATTGGCACCTTTCTTTCTATAGGCTTCCTTCTCTTGGTACCTATCTTCACTTCTTATAAGTGTTCTCCCCCAAGGTTCTCTCTTGTTGCCACAGCAACCCTATTCTCAGCTCATCCACCACTCCATGGAGGTCTTAAACTTTCAGATCTGGACACTTTAAAAAAACAAAAGCAAAATAAAGGTCTTCTTATGTAGCCCAAGCTGACCTTGACTCACGTTTCTCTGACCTCTCACCTTCTTGAGTCCTGGGACTTCAGACCTGTGCCACCACAGCTGGCCTTAGTCCACCTTTTAAAAAAGCTATCCCCAAGGTCTTAGGTTTGATTAAGAATAAAACCTGCAGCCAGGTGGTGGTGGCACTTGCCTTTAATCCCAAGCACTCAGGAGGCAGAGGCAGACGGATCTCTGAATTCGAGGCCAGCCTGCTCTACAGAGCTAGTTCCAGGACAGTCAAAGCTATACAGAGAAACCTTGTCCCAAAATAAATAAATAAATAAATAAATAAATAAATAAATAAATAAATAAATACCACTATTCACTCATTTCCCTTTCTTTTTTGTTTCATGATGACACTTTGATGAGAGCGAACACAAGACGCTGTATGTCTCAGGGACGATGGAAACATAGGAGGCTAGGATGCGGATGAATTGAGCAGGGAATAGTATGAGTTCTTTTGTCTTCTTTCTTTGCAACTTTTTCTAAGTATATGTGATGTGAATATGTGTGTACGCTTATTTACTGGGTGTGAGCTTGAGTGAATGCAGGTGCATGTGCGTGAATAAATGTGTGTGCACATGCATGTGCACACATGGAAACTGAAGTTGACGCCAGGTGTCTTCCTCAATTGCCCTTTATTTATTGAGGCAGAGACTCTTGTTGAACCTAGAGCTCACCAATTCTGTCGAATCTATCTATCCAGCTTGTCCCCAGATCCCCTGTTTAGACTTCATACTGAAAGAATAGGCAACTGCCATCTCCTCCTGACTGAGCTTTTAAGTTTGCACAGTATTGTGGTTTGAAAGAAAATGGCCCCCACAGGAAGTGGCACTGTTAGGAGGTGTGGCTTTGTTGGAGTAGGTGTGGCCTTGTTGGAGGAAGTGTGTCACCGTGAGGGTGGGCTTTGAGGTCTCTTTTGCTCAAATTACTGCCAGTGTTTCAGACCATTTCCTGTTGCCTACAAGATGTAAGACTCTCAGCTATTTCTCCAGCAGCACGTCTGCCTGCATGCCACCATGTCCTACCATGATGATAATGGGCTGAACCTCTGCTTTCCTTATAAGAGTTGCCGTGGTCATGGTGCCTCTTCACAGCAATAGAAACCCTAACTAAGGCATACAGTGAGTGCTTTATCCACTGATCTCTCAATTCGTCATCCCTTTGTGAGTGAGACAAGGTCTCAGGTAGCCCAAATGAGCCTTGTGTTTCTGATCATCTTGCTTCTACCTCCCAAGTGCTGGGATTACAAGTATGCACCGTCATGGCCTGGCTTCTTTATTTTTCAACCATTCAGGTGAGTGAAGCCACAGCCTCGTGTGGACTAGGTAGGTGCTGTACCACTGAGGTAGATCCTTAGTCCTCCCTTGTTTAGAGTTCTAAGGACAGTATCTATAAACCTGGCTCAGTCCAGTGTCAGAACCATTCTCATTGTGTGCAGCTAAGCAATCTGTGGGTTATACCAAGGCAACATAGTCTTGGGAGTGGGCCTTTTCTTGATGATTGATATCCAACAAATGGAGTCACCATGGTTACTTGTATTCATACATTAGCTGGTTATGTCCACCATAAGAAACGACCACAGACTGAGAAGCTTAACCAAAATTTATTCTCTTGCAGTTCTGGAGAGTTGAAGTAGGAGATCAAGGTATGAGGCCATCAGTTTCTTCTAGGGCCTTCTCTTTTTAGTTGTCCGTGGCCAGCTTGTTCAGATGGTTTCACATAGTCTTCCCTCAGTGTATTTCTGGGTCTTAATATCTTATAGGGACACTGGTCTGTATCGGGCAAGGACCCCCCAAATGACCTCATTGCAGTTTTACTTGAAGACCCTATCTCCAAACATAATTACATTCTGAGGTCCTGAGGGTTTAGGGGATGAACCTATGGATTCAGAAAGAACATACTTTCAGCCCATCTCCCTATCCCAAGTGCTACTGATTTCACAGTCCTTGTGGATAGTCACATTATTTTCATATGTGTATAGAATGTGATTCACTATGCCTCTGGTCACATAAAGGATAACATGGGCTCTGTGCATATATATATATATACTTGTAATGAGCTACTCATATACAGAGGGAGGTCAAGAAAGAGCAATCCAGGACCAACCCTTGGACCCTGCACTCCTAAGCCCAGAGGCAGACAACACAAGGGCAGACCCCAGTCGGTGAAGTCTGTGTCAAGCTGTTCTTACAGCCATGGCTGTTTGTCTCCTTCTGCCTCTCTCCTCTTTAGAATTCCACAGGAAACCATGCTTTCATAATAGAACTCTTTTCTTTGCACCAAACATCAGGGATGCGTCCTACAGCCTCTGAGCAAAACAGCCCTGTAGACCTCCCACATCACCCTGGTCCTGAAAAGCTTCCTCCAAGACAGTGGCCTGGTTGAGCTCTGGTGGCTACAAGAAGAGCTAGGGAAAGGAGGAGTCCCAGAGCATGGGTAAGACCATGTTACCAGCCCCAAGTACAATTCCTTTGTTAGGTGATCACAACACAGGCAGCAGCATCTCCTCCTGTAATTTGCAGTCCAGACACCAGGTGGAGAAGTCAACCCCACAAAGGAGACAAGCTCCACAAGAAAGCCAGGCTCCTGCCACCACAGGGACTCCTGGGGCCAGAAAAGAGGAAGTAAAGGAGGTAGTGTAGCCTAGGGTCCAAGTCCAAGGCTCCAAGCATCCCTGCAACCCCCTGCCTCCAGTGTCTGTCTGCACCCACACTGCTCCAGAGCCAAGGCGAAGGCAGAAGAGGCAACTGTGTCTACACAGTCATCACTCATGTACACTCAGTTGCATCCTCTCCCCTCAGGTAGCACTTTGTTCAGAAGTGCCCTTTGGACGGAGGTTTC